TTTTTTATGTATGTATGCATGCATATTAAATCCCTGACATTCATATACAAACAGATCAATACAATAAACTCACATATATCTATATTAGAGATAAAGATCAAATAAAGAAGATAATTGACGGGAACGTTTTTACTAATTGAACCTGGACTACTAACATTCAAATTCAAATTCTGAATTAATCAAAATCTCAAGATGATTACTATGATATTTTTTTAAAGTTATCTTCATTAAAGATTGATTGGAGATCGAATTAAATTAATATTCTATTATGAAATAATCATGTGACACGTTTTTACCGAAATAAACCATCGGAATTTAAAAAAAAAATTCTGATTTAATCAATAATGTTAGGGCGCTGACAGGACTCATTGATTAACTAGTTACCGACGATGTTAATTAATATTCTTCGATTTCAAAGTTTGTTTACAGTAGATGACAGTCAACAACCCACAAATATTTTAATTTTGATTGAACTCTATTGAAGTCTCATATTTTTAGAAACTATCGATTTCTTATCGTATTATTTTCATTAGATTATTTCAATTCGTTTGGACATTCAATTAATCGCTACGCCCAAAAGAATCCTGATTTCCCTTTGAATTTTACGAAACGTATTTAATAATAAGATTGATTTACCTGAAATAAACATTGTTAAATATTTTTCTAGGACTTCATTCTCTTACGATATACTTAAATTTTTATTAATAATCTGTTTTTATGAGTAAATTTCATTCAAATAAAGTGTTATGCCATAATACCTATTCTATTGTAATATACTCTCCCACAGATAATAAGTAGTAGTAGCAGTCGCCAGTTCAGCTCAGTGGTGTTGAGCGAGCCAAAAGATATCGGACATTGCTGCGTCATTAACTCTTATTTCCAAGTTCCTAACGTTTTGTACGTCGAACCTAATTTAGGACGACTTATTGGAATATAATAACTGTTAAAACTACTCTACAACATAAAGATACTTCATGGTTGTGATACTTTTCTTTTACCCAATAACAAATTATTTACATTATAATAAAATAATCGTTTAAATTATATTCTATTTGGCCTAAAATAAAACCCCGAAACATATGCCGTCGAATGCCATTTAACAATCATATATTTCAATTGAACTTCTCTCATATAGTCAAATGAAACAATCTTCCTTTGGGTCGATTTTAACATTTGCTCAGGTTCATTTTTAACTTTAACTCTTCCGTTTAAATAAACCTCTATCGTTTGACTTGCATACGCCTGCTCTACATCCTTGGCAGATAAAAGCTGAAAATCCTTTTAGATCCTGGAGGTACCTCCACTTACTTTCCTAAAATATCGCCGCTAGGGGACGTTCTTTAAGGCTATAAGAAGGTGCTGATATTCTGTCACTCTCTCTTTCCGTTTTTTTTCCTCTAGCTTTCAAATGTACCTAGCACGTAGATAAGAACGCTGCCCCTGAGGCACGTTCGCTTCTCTTTGTCCTCTGTTGACTTTTGACCTCTCTCATACGCATGCATATATACACATGTGTCTATCACACGCACTTGTTGCACTTACTTCTAACCACCTTCACTAGTTTAAATGCTTTTATGTTCATTGTTTTGTAACACGCAAAAATGTACTATTGTCTATGTATACCCTTGTTTTGGTAATACATACTTATCGTTTGTTTATATATATATATATATATATATATATATATATATATATATATATATATATAAGTTTTTGTTACTTTTTCATTTATTACTCGGGCTTACATGCCGATTCCGACATTTTTGTTGTGGGATAAATATACCAGCAGACACGTGTCCAAACTAAACACCCGATCAGCACCCCACCCCCCGTAAAAAGATTCGTCCAGGTGCTGAGCATATCTATCCGTTTAGTTCGACATAAATTGCATAAAAACATTCCTTAATTTCAAATTATGTTTGTTTTAAGAGGTCTCTTGTAGTTTTCAGAAAATCTTGGGGACATACAAGCACCCAATGTCAATTTATATTAGAGAGATATTTAGTAATAATATTCTGATAGATAATGGTATTGATTTCTACAGCTAAGTATTACTCGCTCCTTGAAAATGCCAGTGTAATCTCTGAGCTCGGCAAACTAGGTTTGAACAAGCAATGTGGCACTGAACTACACAGAAGAGAAAATTGGAAAAAGAAATTGCAAGTTTAAATACCTGAGATAAGAAAAGGATAACAATTAACACATCCTTCACGCGAACGAAAAACAAAATGAAAGAAAAGTCCTTGAAAATTATATAATTGCAATATATACTTGATGTAAAAAGAGATTATACAGACCTAAACATCATAAAACTTTTCATTCCGATCAATATTTGGTTGATACAACTAATGACACAAATATTATTTGCTTTCTCGTTGCGATTTAAAAAAATTCGAGCAACATAATATTTCATAAAAGAAAAAACGAAACAGTAAACGAGAGAGGGAAAGAAAGAGGGTAATGGTGGAAAAAGAAAAAATGAAAAAAAAGAAAAAAAGGTGCATGGCGTTTTTTGAATGCCCGGATTTAAATATCTTCTGTTGTAAAGAACTGAACTCATTGTAGTAATTAAAAGCAATAATTATATTTTTAAAAATAGAGACAGCAGTTCGTCTTACTTCCGTTGGTGGTCTGTAAATCAATAAGGCAATATCCGAAATGTGGCATTTGTTTGAGGCGAAGAACTTCAAGGTATATAAGATTATTTAAGAACAACATATTTCATCGACAAATCTATTTTGTTTACAGTATGTTTGACACGCGCCCAAATACAGTGGCGAACACATTCCCACAAATCACTGCGCGTTTATCGGTATTTACTAAAATGACAGGGTTATGGGCATAAGGAAACTAGTTTTTTTTAAGTCTGGCACAAGGCTTAATCGATATCAGTATGATTTCAAGTCACTGAACAATGACAGTTTCTTTCATCATTGAACGCAATATTCAGACCAAGAATAATTGTAGGATCCGAATGCAGTCATTTTCAGCCATGTTATAATGTTGCTTGCTAACTTTTAATTCATTATTTATTATTGATTACATAATTATTTGTTGTTGATTAATATTTAAAAATCTAAACAAATAAATAAATTAAGTTAATAAACAAACTACGAATGCGCACATAAACATGCAAATATAATAATAATAATAAACGACAAATAATTAAGTAATCAATAATAAATAATTAGTAAGAAGTTAACAAACATTTTAAAATATTTACAAGTAATCGCATTCTGACACAGAATTATTTCTATTCAATAGTCTCGAACCTAATTTGAAATATAACGGTTAACACCTGAAACAGTTAAGCTTATAAAATAGGCAGTGCTACTTATAATGAACCACTGATAAAATATGAACCACTGATATATAAATAATTGAGCCAAAACACAATACACATGGCCTGAAGATTGCATTCAAGCATGAGAAAAACTTTCACCGTTTAGTGTTCACTTCAGCGTTCCCATTGGGTTGTACAAATTCGACAAAATGCGACTTTATTTTTCATATTTTATGCTTTTCGGTACGTTGCTGAGACCGACATAATTTTATAAACAAAAAAATCGGCCTTTTTATTGGTTTTCCTATTATAGAGGAATCTATGTTTTTCCCAAACTCAACCCATTTCATGTACACAAATATAATTTCATATGTAGATGCAAATAAAATTACTTATAAAAAATATAAGGTCACGCACACACAGGCACATACACACACATACATAAACATACACAAGCACACAAAAACGCATATTTTTAAAAAATATCCAGACGGGCGTGTACACACAGATGTATACACACAGATGCACACACACACACATGCCAAAATGAAATATAAAGATTTTGTCACCCATTCTCTTCTCTGGGAAAAGAGTATTTGCCGAGTTTAAAAATTAGAATACAAATTCTCTTCACTTATCGACCAATTCCGAGTACATGATGTTACGAATCATTTTCTCATCTAATATCAATAACCTTCGACGTTGCTTAACCTTGTGATTAGTTGAGGATGTTGGCTTTCACTACAGTCCGTAAACCAATCTCGATCTTTTATTTTTCCAAATGGTTTACACACTTCACAAGTTACTTAGCTTTTGATTCAATGACTTTTCTTCATTTAATTTGTAATACACTTTTATTAACATTTTATTCTAGAATTTTATTAATAACCCAATTTTTGTCTATATTTCTGTGATGAGGTATTATGTACATTATTTACATTATTCGGACTATTGTCCTCATCTTTGTCGCCATATTTATCACTCTTTGGGTCATGTCACTGGATCTAACCAACGCCTTTATCCACTGTACCATGTGTCCTTGAGGACATCTGGGTATGAATTTCTGGGTATTATAATAGAAGAGTGTGAGTTCAATACCCGGTTAACGCAGTAGAGAACATTCAGAAGGAAATTAACAGGAGATAACTGATAACTGACATCCATCAAACATGGCACGTGGAATTAGAACAGTCTACCCCGGTGAGCGAAATAAAGGGTTCAGTTCGACATTCCAACCACCTGAAGAAGGCCGGAGCGTACAACGGCCGAAACGTTGTGTTAAATATGGCGACAAAGATGAGGACAATAGTCCGAATAATGTAAATAATGAACCCAATTTTTATTAACATTTTATTCTAGAATTTTATTAATAACCCAATTTTTATTAACATTTTATTCTAGAATTATATTAATAACCCAATTTTTATTAACATTTTATTCTAGAATTTTATTAATAACCCAATATTTCTCCAAATATGCATGACAGTTTTACATTGATCTCACTGTCCATTTTTGAATGTGCCTTCCTCAGGAAAGCCAGAACAGAAGAATGGAAGAAAGAATAAATGCAGAGATTATTTTCTTTGAAGACGATTAATATTTTTTAGTTTTTGATATTTTGGTTCTTCAAAAGATTTTCCCAAACAAATATTTTATGAAAGTGAAACGACTTAAATGGAAAGAAAAAGAAACGAAAATTGCAATGCTAAGGGAAGGTTTAAAAAAAAAAAGAAAGAGCAGAAGGGATCAAAAGAGAAGAGGAAAGTAAAGCAATCAAGAGTAACGATGATGAAGACGGAAAGAAAAAAGTCAGACGACAACAAATGGAAGAGAAAGCATGCAACAATTTACGATCATATTCGGTTTCTTAAAGGGGAAAAGAAGAGAAAGAATTTACCAAAGAAAGAGAAAGAATTTAACAAATTTCATTGCAACCATTTACAATGTTATCTTATTTTTTATAGAAAAGAAGGAAGAGAAAAAATTTACCAAAGGTAGAGAAAGCATTTACCAAATGTAATTGCAACCATTTACAAATATATTTCAATTGTGATAGAGACAAAGAAAGTGGAATAATTTATCAAAAGAAGAGGAAGAATATATCAATTGTCATTGCAATCATTTACAATCTTATTTGGTTTCCTGTAGAGAAAAAGGAAGAGAAAGAATTTATCAAAGGAAGAGGTAGAATATACGAAATCTCAACATAAAAATTTAAAATCATATTTATTTTTTTATACAAAAAAAAGAAAGAATTTACTGAAACAAAAGAAAGAATTTACAAAATCTCAATGCAACCATCTACAAACATATTTGGTTTGTGATAGAGAAAAAAGAGAAAAAGTTGACCAAAGTAAGAGAAAGCATTTACCAATGTCAATAAAACCATGGACAATCATATTTGCTTTGTCAAAGAGAAAAAAGAAAATGAGTTGACCAAAGTAAGAGAAGGGATTTACCAATGTCAATGAAACTGTGAATACATATTTGCTTTGTGACAGAGAAAAAAAAAGAGTTGACGAAAATCAGAGAAAGGATTTACCAATGTCAATGAAACCGTGAACAATCATATTTGGTTTGTTATGGAGAAAAAAGAAAAAGAGTTGACCAAAGTATGAGAAAGCATTTACCAATGTCAATGAAACCGTGAACTATCATATTTGTTTTATTATCGAGAAAAAGTAAGAAAAATAATTTACCAAAGGTAGAGAAAGAATTTACCGAAGGAAAAGAAAGAATTTAACAAATTTCTTTGCAACCATTTACAATGTTTATTTGATTTGTTATAGAAAAGAAGGAAAAGAAATTATTTACCGAATGTCATTGGAAACCTTTACAATCATATTTGGTTTGTGATAGAGGCAAAAGGAAGTGATAAAATTTACCAAAAGAAATTAAAGAAATTACTAAATGACAAAACAACCATTTACAATCAGATTTGTTTTGTTATAGGTGAAAAAAAGGAAGAGAAACAATTTACCAAAGGAGGAGAAAGATTTTACAAAATATCAATACAGACATTTACAATCATATTCGTTTTGTTATGAAGAGAAAGGAAGCGAAAGCCTTTACCAAAGGAAGAGTAAGAATTTACCAAATGTTATTGCAACCATTTCCATCATATTTGGTTTGTTATAAAGATACAGGAAGAGAAAATATTTGCTAAATATCAATGCAACCATTTACAATATTTACAAATATTGAATTTGAACAAGTGTCATTTCTATCCGCACTGAAAATATTTTAGTATGTAATTAGTTTATTTGAATCTACTACTAATTATGTTGTGAAATATTGCTTATCAGTCATGATCATACTATTAGTGTTCGTTTGAACTAGTTTATTACCATCTACTGCACAATCCACTGAACTATCAAATTCTTTTATCGTCAACATCTAGCTATGAACTATATTCGACACGCAAATCTCCCAAACTCTTGTTCATAATTTTGATCTCCACTGTATATTTCACAACTCTAGTCTTGGTCCAATAAATATAAACAACAGTTTTGGTACCTGTTGTAAAAATACATAAAACGTATGTGACATACAAGTGATTCCTAGTAAGCTAGTTCTTTGTTTTAGTTTATCATTAATCTTCCCTTTTGGTAAAATTGTTTCAATCCAACACGACTTCTCAAAATAATATTTTCAATCAGCAATCGTTGACAATGTTTGTATTCCAATGGTAAAAGAACTCCTGTACTTGATGAGCAGTTTCTTTAAAAACGTGAGACGTGTTCATATTTACGACAAATATATGTTTCTATTTTGGCTATCTCCAAAATCAAATTCCTAATCAATTCCCAGACTCGGAGCTTCGTAAAATCAATGTTTATGTGAGAAACCGTCTTGAACAAGTGTCAGTATCAGGAGATGATCAGAACTTGTGAGATACTGAAACAGAATCAGTACAAGCAATTTGAAAAAAAAACAAGACTAAGAAACCTGTCGTCATGCGTATTTTACGATCTTTTGTGATTTACAGCAAAAAATAATGGAGATTATTTCGTTCCATATTTGTTGAATGTTCTGAAGTGCGAAATCATAAAACCCAGTATATTCCAAATTTGTCAGTTATTATTCAAACTCTCTCTGCTACACACACATGTGTGTGAGTTATATATATATATATATATATATATATATATATATATATATATATATATATGCTGGACTCTCCCGTCGTTTTCGACGTATGAGTGTCAAGCAACTCAGTTTCTAGGAACCGACGGCCAGACACTTGCACATATGATTTGCTTATCGTGATGAAGGCTTTGTGCAGCACCAGCCACAATTTTTAAAGGCCGAATACTACGTGCCACAAGGTACCCACACTTCCCTCAGTGAGTTTTGAATTCAGAGTTGTCCTTCTTCTAAGGTTATAAAACCCAGTCTGTCCTGCTGTTTACCAAACATGCTATGGATTCGAAGGAGAGTGATAGATAGATAGATAGATAGATAGATAGATAGATAGATAGATTGATGGGAGGTAAAACCGGCCCTGAACCCGTTTATACGGGTTCAAATGGGTCCGGCCTTGTGCAACCTGAACCCGTGGACTATATCGGGTTCAAACCGACTGGCCGAGCCTAATGGCTCGGGAATGCCCACATTAAAAATGGCCTTGTGCCACAAAAGACACCCGCGTGGGGGGGTGACTGAATATCGTCAGTAGTTCACTTTTGAACCGACTGCTGGGTTTGAACTCTCTTCCTACGGGCGGGAGGAACCCGAAGGAGGCTACGCCGAAGGGCGGAGTCTCCTTCGGGAACCCGTTATACAGGGTTCAAATGGGCTCAATGGCCCTGAACCCGTTTATACGGGTTCAAATTCTGAGACTGTTCAAATCTCTTCCTGCAGAGCTATTTTCGGCCGAGCCTAATGGCTTCAAATGGAAATGCCCCCACGTTAAAAAAGGCCTTGTGCCACATGACACCCTCGTGGGGGTGACTGAATATTGTCAGTAGTTCACTTTCTGAGCGACTGTTCGGTTAAACTCTCTTCCTACGGGCGGAGGAGGAACCCCCCGAAGGAAATGGCTACGCCGAAAAATGGGCCACATGGAGTCTCCTTCAGGACTGTTCGGTTAAACTCTCTTCCTACGGGCCCTTCCGCCGAGGGCGGAGTCTCCTTCGGGGAGAGTAAAACCGGCCCTGAACCCGTTTATACCAAATGGAAATTACAGGCCGAGCCTAATGGCTCGGAAATGCCCACGTTAAAAAGGCCTTGTGCCACATGACACCCTCGTGGGGGGTGACTGAATATCGTCAGTAGTTCAAGTTGACTCAAGAGTCAAGTCAGAGGCAGTCCGAAACAGAGTCGCGTTCAGACAATTACTGCAAGATATTGGAATACTGATATTTGTTGAGACTACATTGTTCTCTCTACTAAACCTGATTGTTCATACTAACACTTCTACTTCTCTGTATATATTCCTGTTTGTAATATATCTGTGTTATTCCATATTTGTGTTCAAGTTCTTCTTTATTGGTTATACCTTGGACTATCACCGTGGTACAAGGAACCGGGCCATAACAGATAGATAGATAGATAGATAGATAGATAGATAGATAGATAGATAGATAGATTTCCCTGTCGTATAACACAGCATGTTTCGTCCTTGATACTCTACTTTCGTTTGTGCTTTCGATGATCGTTAAGGCCAGCTTGGGACCCACAAACCATTCCACATACAAGACAAAGGACAAGGAAGAGCGTCCTATCGTTAAGGCTACAGAAGTATTAGGGGAGTGTTTCATGTTCTGCTTCGTGTTCGTCGATATTCAATGTATGAACCTTTAAAATGTTATAACGCCTTTTATGTACACACTACTCCCCTTGCCATGATCAGAAGCAATTTACTCAAAAGATAACAGAATGATATAAATAGAATTAAGATTTTGCTTAATTTTATCCTTGTACCTCAACAAGGATCTTCCATCTTTCCAGGAACCGTCATGCAGTTGGCTGTACATGAAGATTTTTTTGATGTCTCTTCAACATAACCAGCACAGCCAAGTGAAACGCGTTTGCATTAGAAATGTCCTTATACCTCGAACTTTGTTTAATATTAAATATTTTGTGTTCCAGATGATAGCCACAGATTGTATAAAGGCGCCGCTTATTGAAGACATCAAGTTGACGAATATGTTTCTGGTAGGTGTCCAGGATTCGAAGCCGTAAAGGAGATTTATATTTACTACAGTTCGGTATACATTAAGTTTTGTTTTAAAGGAAATTCCTCTGATATTCCACAGATTATGATAAAGCTTTCCAAGGTAATCTGTAGATCTAGAGATGCAATAAATGATCTCACCGTCAAGAGAAGATCAAATTGCTTATGAGGTACTGAAATGTTTCAGAATATTTAAGTGTGTGCTGAAGAATATTGCCAATTGGCTTCAGTTAGCGCACAACTTCAATCAATTGTCTTGATACTAAATATTCAGCCAAATGCTTTTCATACTACTGAAAATCTACTCATAAAATCTAAAGATTTACAGAGATGTTGCAACCAAACAAACATCCTTACAAATAGGAGATCGCAAATAATACTGTCTCTTGTTAAGGTCGGTCTTAGTTTTGAATTGCTGATGATTAAACAGGATGCACTAAGTATGAAACTGGAACTTAAAATCAGTATTAGAATGTCTGAATACAGCGTCAAGTAAAACAAAAATAAAGGGCAAAAAATACAGGAGCCATGGTACATACTTGTTTTGTTTCCTTTGTTACGTTAAAGAGATTAAAAAATGTCACTATCTGAGATGACAAATGCTTCCAATGGAAAGAAATGATAACCACCAATATTTTATCAGTGTAGCTTTTTGAGGACCTTCCTCACAGCATCGCATTTGACGGACATATAGACCTTTGGCACGTCCACTAAAATTGTATAGTGTTCATGATCCTTAAATTTGTAGAGATATACTATCGACGCATTTTTAAAATCTTGTGAAATTCTTTAATATTCCAGGTGACAAGTAAATGATAGTGATTTTTCTTACAAGACTGTTTCCACCGAATTCGAAAATCTCAGTTGGTATGCCATATGGTAATACTTTATGACATCATGCGCCTCCTTGATATTAGGGCCAAGATCTAGAATCTCAGATGTCTGAAATAAAGATGCAATAATATCTTAGTCAACCAACAATTCAGTGTTTAGGACATTTTCGTGGTGTTCCTTCCACTGAGAGAGGATATCATGTTTTTATATGAGCAACCAGTGCCTATTAGGAAATAGAGTCTATTTTCTTTGGGGTAAAAAAAAACATCCTCCAGGCCTTTGTGAAATACTTTCGACTACTTTCTCTCAGCGTCCTGCTGCTATTCAGCTGTTTTTTTGCTGACCACCACACTTGCTTTTGATTACTTAACGAAGACCCGCACGTACAGTTTCATGCCATTGATCCATTTTTTCGATAAGCAGTTGAGCATTAACATTTTTCCCATGTAACACATCTTGATAGTTCGGTAAAAGATGCATAGAAAGTTATACCTTGAAAAGATTTCTTTGAATCTTCCATGTCTGCAGAAATAACAACAGTGTCGAGAGCAGAATCGAAACTTCCCAACAGATATTAAATATAAATATTATATTTTCTTTGGAATAGAGGTGTTGCAATGACTGTTCTTCGATGACAACTAATCGAATATATATATATATATATATATATATATATATATATATATATATATATTTTGAACAATAAAAATATTGAAAATTTAAAAATTAAAATTTTCAAACACACTGGGTTATATATTAATATTTTTTGTTTTATTTTTTCAGTTAGGTTCCTTGACTAGTTTCGGCCAGCATGGTCATCATCAGGAGAGAAAAAAATCTTACTTGTTAGTAGCACTGAACTACAGGAATGAATGACTTTCTGAAAAAAGTTAACTTTATCTTTATTTTTCATTTATTTTTTATGGTTAATTTTGGTCAGTCCTTGTGTTGGTCAAACGGCCTCTTTGTTGTTGTTTTTAAGATAAAGGCCGTGGAGATTCATACGACTCAGAATTCCCTTGGTCATTTTGACTGTCTTATTGTTTGCTAGGAAGGAGATGTGTGTATTAAATGTATGTTATCATTTGTTCTTTGGGAGTGTGTATGATGTGTGTAAGTGTATATATTAGTATGGGTATGTGTATAAGTGTGAAACCTCAACACCTCCGCAACATGTCTATCTTGTGTGGGTAAGACATTTGGGTAGGGTTTGATTTATGGGGTTATATATTAATTATATCTATGTTGCTAAATTTGTGGTTAAAGCCCGTCTGCACAAAATCCATTTGTCTTCATGTTACTCCAGAATTTTTCTAGTGTTATCTTTTCTGTCTATTACTATTTTTTCAATTATAGTTAATTTGGTATAGCTTTTAAAATCATGTTTTTCTTGGCGGAAATGTTGTTCTACAGTTAATAATCTTTCGTCGGGAGCCGACTTAATCCAGTTAGGATAATTAATAATTCTGTAGTGTAAGGGCCATTCAGATTTTTCCACATATTGTTTCTGGCATAGTGTGCATTCTAACAGGTAAATTATGTTATGACTTCTTGTTATGGGAACTTACCTATAACGATTATAGACTCTTCCTGACACTATAAATACTGCACTTCTCAAGAGGTATAATGAATGAATGGTGTAACGAGCACCAGTTCATGACTGTTGAACTCTCTGCTTTGGCAGAGGGAACCCAGACGAAGCTTTGCCGAATGGTAAGGTTTCGTCCGGGGAGGTAGATGAGCCCTGAACCCCGTCTAGGCGGGTTCAAAGGGTTATATTTTGGCCGGCCTACGGGCTCGGAGAAAACCCACTTTAATCTCGGCCTCGTGCCACATATATTCCTCGTGGGTGGGATATTAAATACAATGAATGGTGTAACGAGTCTAGACAATATTAGTTCACTCTAAACCAGACGGACAGTCATTACTGTCACCTTCAACTTCTTGTACTGTATTTCTGTTGTAATATATCTTTGTTATTCTACTCTTGTGTTCGTGTTGTTCTTCCTTGGTTCTAACCTTGGACCATAACTGTGGTGCGAGGATATTGGACCATCCACTTCTACAGTTAGAGTTGTGGTAGATTTTGAAAGTAGATTTAGTGACTGAGCAAGTGAACGAATTGGTGTATGTAACGTGATTACAGCATGAGTTCCTTTTGTTGTTACATGGTTAAGAAATCTTGTTGCTTTTATTTTTAGTCTATTACTTATCATCTGGTTACTACCTATAATTTCTTTAAGGTTCTTAGGTCTACGATATGCTAGAAGGCCTGGCACCCCAAACAAAATTTCTAGGTCTACTTCGATTTCTCAGCGACTTTTGATTATCTAAGATAGTGGAGGAAGCGTGGTGTTGAAAGTGGTTACTAGAGGGATGCATATGGATTTATTTTTAATTTCGTACATTTGTGCATTAAAACATAGAATTGTCATTGTTTTTTGATAAAATCAATAGCAAAAGGCGAAAAATAACGACACAAAACGAGAAGGAGGTTTAAACTAAACCAAAGTTGGTGTAGCAAAACCTTTTTCCCTTTCTTTGATATTGCTGATGCAATTGAAATCCTGAAGAATATTAAATAGAAATTTTCTTTATTTGTAAACGAACATCAATAATCCCTCTTCACATAATAACTGTCCTGTCGTTTAAACAACACATTAAGAGTTATCAAAATGAGGAAATCCTAAGAGAGCAATCATTGCCAATATCACGAAAGGACATGGCCCATAGAATAAGTAGACCTCAAACTAAATGTTCTCTTCTCATTACCTCACGATATAACCAGACTTTGGTCAGAAGGTGAACGTACAAGATTTACGAAAAGTTCATTTCATCAAACAATAAAAAATTGTGGCCTGCTGTTTACTTTCTACGTCCATCACTTGCAAAGTTTCGAGTCCAGGAATTTGAATGCTAATTTTCAAGGCAGGCACTTCAATCTCATTTGGAATGATGATAAAATCCTTCTAACGCAATTCTCTTTTATTTAACCTTTTGCTAACCATAGTAATTAGGAATAGCAACTAGATATTTTTTTCTTTCTAGTTTTGAATAAAGTTCATGTAGTGAAGACGTTGGTTTATTTCCTTGACTTAGCTGAATCAAATACCGTAATCAATAATATTGGTGTGTTATTGAATTACTAAATGAAAATGGCAACATTAATTCATCATCAAAACCACAGATGTCTTCAATGGAATAATGCAATGCTAACACATCTTGTGTATTCGATTATGTCTTTTCTTTCGGAAATTTAATGGAACCCTCGTTAAAAACAAATGAATAATTATGCCGTATTTAGCTAACTATTACTAGAGAGGGAAACAGGAAAAGTCTTTTAAGATCAGAATAATTTATCTTTTATTATAATAAACATCACCTTCTCTACACTTCCACTAGTATTCAGGATGACACAAGGACCATCTTTGCATTATTTTTTGATCAACAATGTATTCACACAAATGTTCAAATATGTTCAAAATATAATTAAGATTTTACAAGCAGAATAATACTACTACTACTAATAATAATAATACTTATAATATGAAAACAATAAACGATTTTACATTTGAACAATAAAATCATGTCCTTCTACGGTCAGTCATATAATAAAAAATATTTTAACAGTTGTCGTGGTGGCGAGACCAAACGACGGGATTCAATACTACAAATCCTTTTTTTATAACTTAGAGCAAGCGAGTATCGTTATTGTATGACTGGCCCCGATTTGTCGTTATTTTTCGTTAAATAACTCTCGGGCGAGTCCGTTTGCCTTTCTTGAGGATAGTCAAGAAAAATAAGATCAATCTTTTCTTTCTTCTTTATCGATAGAGTGCAGGGCAGTTTTCAAATTGCATTTATTGATTCTGCTCATGAAATGGTTGAGGCATTATTGAACCTCTACCAAGGGACTTGGTACAAGTTCACTCTGAGTGTGAGACTCTCAACTTTAGACAAGCGGTTTGCACACACAAAAAAAATCGATAATGATTACGAATATCACTGATTGGCCTCAGCCAATTCAATGAAAACCCACTATGACATATCACGTATTCTATTAGGTGACTACACTTCCCAGAATTCTCGATGACTTGGAAGCAAGTAAATTACTGAAACTGATATGTGGTAAAAACGTGGGTGGTTTATGTTTTCTTTTGATATCACGATATCTGACAATTTGCGAAAACGAATCGTCAGAATTATAGATAAGAAAATAAGCAGTGCTAAAAAAAATAACAGAATATCTTCATATACACACACACACACACACACACATATATAACTGATAAAAAGATTAAGGCCATCAGACAAGATATATTAATAAAGGATAGGAAGAAAAAACTTATCTACTCATTGATATGTTTGTCTCCACCGGAAGAAATTTTCTTAAAATTACAAAAAAAGAAAAAATGCAAATATAAAGATTGAGTAAAACGATGAACATGAAGACAATAAGGATACCATTGGTATTGTTACCATTGGTATTGTTACTAGTGGTATTGTTACTAGTGGTATTGTTACCAGTGGTATTTTTACTAGTGGTATTGTTACCATTGGTATTGTTGTGTCTATACCACTGTTATTCTTGACACAATAATACCAGTCGTTATATCAGTCTAGTCACGAAAAGAATGGAAAATATATCAACAAAATTCCTGGCCAGATCGAGTCTAGAAGATCGTCTTCTTTATCACTACTCATATAACAAGGAGGATTCTATCCATCAAGCAAATCGTCACGCACTCATAGTAGCCACAAATTCTAGGAAACAATTCAGCTCCACGAGAGAAGGTAGGACATTAAAAAAAAATAATAATAATTGTATATGTAAATCTGATATTACTAGTTGCTTATCATTGCTGAAATTTAATTTAGGGGAGCTTTGAGTAATAAGAATATATATTATTCTGCTTTCACAATTGAATACATGGTAGATGATACTCAGATTTTGTGCATATATATGTTTCAATTCTCCAGGACACTACTCAGTATTTCTTATGAACAGCATGTAATCTTAATAGATTTAATTTTTGTCAGGTTTGCAAGTGTGTCAGATGCAAAGTTTTTTTAGTGGGAAGGGGGCATTCCCAGTGCTCCAGCGACTATTGGCGTAATCATTATCCATATATTCTTCTTTTGTTACAGCTCTCGGATAAAAATATTGACATTTATCTGTTTTTGTCCCATTTCCCTTTTCTGGCACTTCTAGATTCAATTTTAGCTTTTCTCTTACCTGCATGTAACTATGATCTCTTTTACTTTTTTTTTAGTTTTCACATTCGTCGTAAATGGATTTTTTTCAGAGAATTCTTCTCAATATTCCATTATTTTTCTTAAACATTTAGTTTAGCTTTAATAATTCTGCCGATTGGGCGGTTTACATTTTTCTTGGGTCACCAATCCTTCCAACGTATTTGCCAAAATCTTCGCGGCTGTGTTCCAAGGGCGGCAGTTGTATTTCAATAAAAATACTCACTAGTTCTGTTCTCCCTTTCTTTCAATTTTTCTTTGTGGTCTTCTCGAACAGAAGCATCCCTTATTTAATATCCCCCTTTTCCCTTTGGAATGAATGATTCATTTGAATTTCAAAATCCCAGAGTATTTTATTTTCTAAGATAGCATTTTTATGCATGGTTTTAAGATCATATTCCATTTTAAGAAGATCCTGTACCATTTGTTTGCACAATTTCTAGTATATCACTCTTCCTACCCAGTCATTTTTTTCCTAAATTAATTCGATGCATTCTCTGATTGTATGACTGGCTTTATCATTTCTCTCTGTATATTCACTGTTATTATCGTGTCCTGTCTGCCTTCGCCTTCATATAGATTCATATAGATAAATAAATAGCAAAAGGCGAAAAAATAACGACACAAAAGGAGAAGGAAGTTTAAACTACACCAAAGTTCGTGTAGCAAAAACGTTTTTTTCTTTGATATTGTTGATGCATCAGTATTGGGCATCTATAAACATAGAGTTATCTTCTCTCTTTGAATGTCTTCTATGTAATCATGTCATTCTCGTATATAGTTCCTTTTGATTATCTTTGAGGATCTTCATATGGTTATATTTATTCCTCTTTTACTTTCACGATTCTTTTTATCTTCTTTCGAATTTCACTAAACTTTTTCCTTGTCATAATTAATATTTTATCGACTTGCAAGTTTAGTCCTCAAATCCTTTGATAATAGTTTCGATGCACTCCTCAGTTCTGAAGTATCTTGTTCCTATATTTTTCCCTTTCATGTCAATGTCATTTTTCAGATTGCAAGGTTTTATACATAGTCATCCATTATCTTTATATTTGTTCAAAATTTCTTATTACTCCTGTTGTCGCATTCAAAAATGGTCATGAGTAACTTATTACTGACACTACTCATGTACTTAAAACCTTGAGTATGTTTCAGATTCTCAGTTGTTTTACGCACTTTTCTTTACTTTTGCCGGGCAGTTTTTCTTGCCCTTTTCCTTTTCACTCTCCTTTCAGCTTTCAGTATTGAAAATATCCGCCGTTTTCTATGGTCACCATTCTAACCAATTCTTCTGCTGCGTTCCTCGCAAATGGAACTCTATTCCCGATTCTTGTTTTACTGTTAACAATAAACTACAAAAACTTAAATGTCAATCGTCATCTTTTGTTTCCTTAAATTCCATTCTGTTTATTGTACTTTCTCCTCAGTAACGTTTTCTCAGTTTTGCTTCACTTTATTGTCCTTCATCCTCAGAAACCATTTGCGTCTTGGTGGCTTTGTCGCCTTCATTGGGATTGAAATTTTTACAAGAAAATTCTGTTTTCACATGGGAAGTGAAATAGTTGAATTTTTGATGTTGACATTATTATTGCCTCCATTTTTTCATGGAATTGTCACTTTCAGCCACATGTCTGTTAGTTAACTCAGGATATTGTGTCAATACTTCAGCATTCACGCAAACCCACAAACATGGCGCTGATTCAATCCTTCCTACATAAACATATATTTTTGAACATTAGTAAAAGCATCAAAGATCAACGGTTTTATATTTACCTAGTATATTTTCTTTTTCTAATTCTTTTGTAATCAAAAAATGTTGCCAACACCGCTACAAGGTTCTCTACTACTACTACTACTAGCTCTGTATTAATTTACTCGTTTGCCATTATTACATAAGATCTCCCAGTATGTGTAATACTTTCAGTCCTGCAATATTTTCTCAAATTACATAACTACTTACAATTCACAGATTTATTAATCATTATATTGAGATGATAAACTCTATGTGTGGTATTTGCTATCAATAAGACACAAAGGAAAACTTTACCTCTCCCCACCCCCAAACTATTATTGCTGTTGGTATTGATTCACGGACATCCTCCTACTATTTGAAGCGCTTCTAAAGCTTATCAAGATACAAGAGTTAAATTAAAAGTCGAACAAAGAAACGTGAGAGAATACAGATATTTCTCTAGTTTAAAAAATACTAACTAAAACCAATGGCTACGTGCATTTATCTTGTTTATGCTTAGCATACTGATCCTTTTTGATGTGCCGTGCAGGTAAGCATTGTTCTTATGAGGATTTATTTGCGTCTCTTGCATCGCCACTGACTTTCTCTAATCGGATTCAGATTCCAAAACGAGGCTGTGCGTGAGGCTCCGTGAAAGAGAACCACTATCCGATGGAATGTGCAATGCACGCCTGATACTTTTTATGATAAATCAGAGAAAGCTATCTGAGAAGCTTCGAGGAGATTTTGTTCTATTTTTCTGTGTTGAACTTTTCTACACGAAAAAGAAGGAAAGTAAAGGGAAATTTTATTGATATAAATATATATATATATATCTGCAACAGTTTTCGCAGAGATGGATTTGACCCAGGTATAGCTTCTTTATCGTCTTCCAAATAAAAAAAATCACTAAACAACCATCGCAGAAGTTTCAAATTAGGTCTATACTGACTATTCAGAAGTTAATTGTATCATCTTTCTTATTAGATCAACAAAAGAATCAAAAGAAGTAAAAAGAAGTTTTTTTTTTCATTTGGTAGAGTAGAAGACAGTTTGTTAAAATGTTGGAGGTCTTATTTTCAGTATTGAATTTTTAACAAAGAGAGAGAGAGAGAGAAAAGAGAGAGAGAGAAAAAAACTACTGAGTTTCAATGTTTTGTATTTTTCTATTTTTTATCTTTGTGTGCTTAAAAATAGATACATATATATATATATATATATATGTGTGTGTGTGTGTGTGTGTGAGTGTGTGTGTGCGTGCGTGTACGTGTGTGTGTGGTGTGGATGACCATTTATGCGTTTGTATACATTTCATATACAATACGTTAAAATTTCCCTTTTTCTTCCGTGCTTAGGGGTAGAATCTCTGAGTCGGTCGAGTTTCGATCCCGGCTAGATGCAATCGGATGTCTAGCCACACTTATGAGCAGTGATACAGCCAAACAGGCTTGTATGTGGTTGACTATATATATATATATATATATATATATATATATATATATATATATATATATATATATATAACTTCAGTTCACATGGTCCATATATAACTTCAGCACTTATGGTGTTTCGATTTATAGTGATAATTAACGAGTGAGTTTTCCACTTCTGTGTCCTTTTCTCAGACTAATCAACTTTTATACATAATTATAGTCACAGTTCAGATCATTTTAAAACTGTCTCGTTTGATTTTTCGAAGACAAAAAATGTAAATGACGAGACTGAAAGATTTAAATCGGGTAACGGTCTTCATAGAAAATACATTGTGTCTTAGTTCGTTGTAACTATCAAGATAAATTTGAGGTCGAAGTAAGGAGCCCATTGGTGTTCGCCAGGCTCGATATATGTCCTACTACTTCAGGGGAATGTTTGTCAACTGGAAGATGGACCGATTATATGACATTGCTTTTCCTTTATTAATTACAAACGTGGATCTTTAAAGTTTAGTCAATTTTACGCGTTACACTCTCCACCCAATAAATCAAGGACTAAGCCAAGGAGTTCAAGAGTATCGATGATAGAATGGTATCAAAATCTTAGAATTACTAAGGTCATGGAACGTTTCTTTATGCCCCCGTAAAAGTTTAACCAATAATCAGGTTAACTAAAGCAAATCGTATCCTCTTTTCTATGACATTTTTTCAAAATTACAGTTCGTATATTTACGAACGGTACCTTATATATCTGTTATACATTAAGCACCCTCATTCTCCTGAGGGTGCTTAATATATGAGATATTGACGTTCAGCTCTAGTTTTACTAACATAATTACTTTCCAGGAGATAAAAATTCATTTTTTCTGACCGCCTATCATCATATGAATGCAAAACGATGGAGACGATTAGAATTGTTTAAGATCTAATTATAGAAGAGGAACGGAATAATCATAGACTTTTTCGCAAAAAACACAGATTAAGCAGCTTTCTTCTCGATCAAAATTCGTTTGGAATTCTCTGATAAAGGAAACTTTCTCAATAATTCATATATCGATCGTTCCCCTGATGGAACCAGTGTTCATTCTGTTGCATTGTCGTTCAAAATACAAGTGTCATTTTAGTAACACTGCAATAAAATTTAAGACAAATAGGTTTAAGATGGTTTAAACCAAGTGCTGTAACCTATTCGTGTTAATTTCTATGTTTTTGAAGGTCGACCAATGGCATTTTAAAATGCAGCAGACATTCTACGAAGGTTATGATGATCAAAATATGTGCTTATTTCCTTTGCCCAATAATTTTGAAAACTAAATGTTAAATATATGCAGAAATAATTTATATATCTCAATATTACACACACATACACACACACACATAGATACATAGATACATACATACATACAGACAGACAGATATGAAAAAAATGAGATAGATAGATAGATAGATAGATAGATAGATAGATAGATAGATAGATAGATAGACAGACAGAACTTAAATAAATTGGTATGAAATAAAAAAAAGATTATTATTAAATATAGTTTTGCCATAGTAACATTGAAATATTTAGCTAAATCCTTGGTTCCGTCACGTCTAACCTTCATGGCTAGGATCCGCCATATTACTTACATAGTAACAAAAAATCCACATTTCCTCCATATTCCATCGGCGAGAAGTAATTCCCACTCAAACAGCTTCTTCCTGCAATCTACTGCCCTGTGGAACCGATTATCAAGAGGATGTTTCCCCGATCACTGCAATGTTAACCTGTTTAAGTCTAGAATTAACCGTTATCTTCCCCCTCCTATCTATATAAACTATCCCTTAACGTAACCACTAACTGGAGTGGCCCCCGGGTCATGTACAGAGTGAACCTTACTGTGAAAAAAAGCACCAAAACAACTACATTTTTCCTCAATTAACTAATCAAAGCTGACTTTACTTGGTTACCGATACGTATGTTTCGCCAAGTCACGTTCACTCTGCTGTTGAAAACTGTTTAACAAAAATTCTTTCTATCCGTTTGATCCAAATTGTTATTGGCCAGGTCTATCGCGCCATTCAGGATGGGCATGTTAGTGAGTCGTTCTAAACTAAACTTGCTTGTTATATGATGAAGATAATTGCATATTTCCCACAGGGATAAAAGATCGGGTATCATATTAAGTAATAGTGAAAATTTCAATTCCAGATTTTCCAGGCAACCATACCATCTCCCAATCTTACTACCATGTATCTTTCCGTGTCGCTCTGAACTGTACGATGTTAATCCATAAACGAATTTCCAAATATATATTCAACTACATTTTTCAGCGGATATTTTTAGAGCGACCTTCGGCGTTTAACTAAGACTTTACAAATCTCTACGCTCTGAAGAATGCATGGGATAAAATTTTTGATTAAAAAAACGCATAAATAAAACCAACTTGATGCACAATGATGTTGACTGAATTTAACTTGAATGCCGAAGAGGAGAAATGGGAAGAAGCATTGGACAGGAAGATTTTGTTGCGTCAAACTTCTAAATGTAGAGACTCAAAAAACTGTTTTGTCTTCAGCCAAACACACTCAGATTGCAAAAACTGTTTTGAATTTATCCAGACACCAAAAAGATCGTTTTGCCTACACACATACTCCAAAAATCGTTTTGTCTTCACTTCTACCCAAAAACATCTTTTACCTTCACTCAGATCCCAAAAAACCGTTTTACCTTCGCCTACACTCCAAAAATCGTTTTGACTACACCCAGATTCCAAAAACTGTTTTGACTACACACAGATTCCAAAAAACAGGCAAAATGTTCTACGTTTGTCATTTTCGTATTTGCGATTTATTCGGTTTCTATACCATTTAATCTCAAGGAAGACACAAGTTGCTACTGAGTATGAAAGAATCCGAGAAAAAATATCATAAAGCAATTAAGGGGACAGAACATATAAAGACACATAGTTGCCTTCAAATATCTTAAGTAAAGACATACATCTAAAAATGCTCGCTTATGCAAATACCTGAATGTGTAAACGAAAAAACACTCTACTGATTTATTATGCCATTTTTGGTAGCCATTAAATTCTATCAAGCAACATGCAATGAGGAATTTGAATAGTGATCATGATTTAGCACTTTTCTAAACATTTTCAGTCGTCAAGTTCTCTACAATGAAAATTATATATATATATATATATATATATATATATATATATATATATATGGGGGGGTCATTATTTTTGAAGTCTTTAGTGGGTCGTTTACTTTCATTAGACCTTCAAATTACAATGAATAAGTAAAACATATAACAACGACAGAAAAATGAATTCAAAGTACGCGGTTCAATTCGACAAAAATAAAACATTTAATTTTTACAAAACTACACTAATTTTATTTGCCAATATGGGAATGAGTGTTTGTTTTCTATTTTAATTGTTTGAGTGTCATTAAATGTGTTTTGTGTGAAAGTCGTCATTTGTTCGTTTTATTTAAAAGTTCAGTGCAATAGAGAGAGGAAGATAAAAGCGATTAGAGTTCTACAAAATACATGGAGCGGACTTTTGAATAAAGAAAGTTAATTTAAGCGTGCGTAAGCGAGTGTGAATTTAGGTGCGTATGAGTAAAAATAGTGTCGCTTCGACCAATTATCGAGAGGTTCAACTTTATTTAACGAAAGTCGCTTGCTCGAAACTACTAACTTGAAAGCAAACCTTTTAAAAATTGGCACATATCTGTTTATATTTTCAAAACGAATTATATATATATATATATATATATATATATATATATATATGTGTGTGTGTGTGTGTGTGTGTGTGTGTGTATGCGCGCATGTGTGTGACTGAGTGTATATATATATATATATATATATATATATATACAGTGTAACCTGGATATAAGAGTTGTCGGGACCGGGGACGAAGTCTCCTATATCCGGTTTCTCTTATATCCGGGTTTGGTCTATTATATATACATTAACACACGCTCTTATTTGGGACCAGAGAAAATCTCTCTTATATCCGGGTTTATCTTATATCCGGTTACACTGTATATATATATATATATATATATATATATATATATATATATATATATATATTTTTTTAACTCTATAACTACTACATGCATGAAGTTTTCTGATTCTTCCATAAGCGTTTCTTTGGTCTGCGGAATTGACACAAGAAACTCTTGATCATTGACGTAATGAGAACATCACTAACTAGGCGAGAATCTATTGTAGTGAGTTCGGTTCTCACTGAAAACTCGACTATTGTGGCCTTGTACCAGATCAAAACATGTGAGAGTTGATAACTATATTGAGTGTCTACTGTAGCGGAATAGTTGGCAAAATACGCAGTCCCGCAAGAAAATGTATACACACTTCAGGAACGGAAAAACTTGTATAAACATTGTAAATACTAAAATTATTCAGACATCACGAGATTAATACAAGTTATCTTTGAACTCTACAATCCCAAGAGATGCTCAAAATGGTGGCCTTTAGCTTCCAGACATTTCTTAGTACGGCAACATTCACCAAATTGTCCAGTGGTACGGCTGCACATCGTTTGACAATGTCGTCAGTTTTCTGCGATGCAAAACATCTTTTAGGCTTTCCCTCATGATAGTGTTATCGTAATTTGATAAAACAAACAAAAAATTTTCTTTTCCTGAAGTGTGTATAGATTTTTGGTGGACTTCGTACGTTTCAATGAGCAATATCTTCATGAAGTGAGGCTCCCAATACGGAAATCTTATGTCTAAGCATGCTCTAGATTTCTTGGAATCATTCCTACAAATAATTAATTAAATTTTAAATAGTTTCACACAATCAACAACGGAATTGAAACTTTTAACCATGGTTCAAAACTGAATCTATTTTGCCCATAAAATATTTAAAAAAATAAGGGAATTTTAAGTTAAAATTATCATGCTTTGAATATTTAATTGGATCAGTGTTTTGCAATATTATTTCTCCGTTTATAAATCTTAACTACACACACACACCGGAGAAAATGCGACGTCGAGATTTGTACACAGAATACCTTAGAATAAACCAAAATTCGGCTTCATTTTCAAATTAAGAGAAAGGTGCTACTCATAACTTCCCGTGTTTTTCACATTGCTGAATCGTAAATTAGTCCAGCAAAAAGGAAAAGAAAGTCAAGACTTTCAAGTTTGGCTTGGAAACAGCAGCCACTGACTAATGTTGCAAATAAGCATCATTAACCAAGTAATCGAAGTTTTCATGACCGTACTGATGTTTTGATTTGTAATTTCTTTCATTCTTTTTGTTCCACAAAAAAACAAAAGTTCTATCTTCAAATTATTATTATTATTATTATTATTATTATTATTATTATTATTATTCCTTTGATTTCTGGCGTTTACACATTTCTTTCCGGGTCCCGCCCAGAAACCTAAGGTTAGAAATTGCATCATGACATTTTCCACTGACCAATTAAAAAAAATATTTTACATAGATAAAGCCCTTGGTAAGGAGTGGGCTGTACTCGTGAGAACAATTTTTTGTATTTCTTTAAGGCATGGTCTTCCAGGAATCCTTTCAATGAGTGTACTGGAATATTTTTCAATCAATCCGAGGGGTCCAACTACAACAGGGATTGTTGATGTTACCATGTGCCACATTTTTCAGATTTCGATTTCAAGGTCCTTGTTTCGATAGCTTTTTGAAGATCTTCAAAGATATTGCAGTCTGCAGGGAATGCCATATCAATAAGGAAACACTTTTTTGTTTGTGGTCTTTAATAACAATATCTTGGCGGTTAGCTTTGATTGTTCTGTTTGTGTGTATTGTGTAGTCCCATAAAATTGTAACAGATCCTATCTCCGTAATTGAGTCTGGGTGGTGTTCATACCAATTTCTTTCAGTTTCCTTCCTGTAGAAGTTGCAGATTTTCCGGTGCATATATTGGCTCACTCTGTCGTGTCGGGTTTTATATTCAGCGGGTGCCAATACTGTGCAACCTGATACAAGATGATCAACTGTTTCTGGATATTTATCACAGAATCGGCATTTTGAGCTAACAATATTTTAGTATGTGTGCTTTATAATTTCTACTTAATAAGTATTGGTTCTGTGCAACAAGGATAAAACCTTCAGTTTTAGCTTTTAACCTTGCACCACTTAGCCACTGATGTGTACGGGATTTGTCTCCATCAGTTTGGTACTTGCAGAGTATTGGTCATGAAGCGGTTCATCTTGCCATTGTTTCTGTATCTAAACGGTTGCATTTGTTTTTGCTCTCTTTTTTAAGTATTTTGCAGCTTCACTCACTGTATTTCTGCACCCATCTGAAACACCATTGTTGAATTTGTTTTGAACTTTTAAAGACGCTTACTACTTTCATGTTCTTTGACACATATCATCATCCTGTCTCCTGTAGTTTTCAGGTATCTTTGAAGGTCAATTGTTGTAGTTTTGTAGGGCAGTTCTAGTTGAACTAATCCAATGCTTTCTTTGGGTACATACAAACGATCAACATCAACTTTGGAATGATGCATGCAGTAGCAAATGAGAAGCTTTCTCGTTTTGGCGTCCATTCGCTTAATGTCATCTATAGTCAAGTTAAGGATGTTAAAGCTGTATTGCACCACAGGGACAGTCAAGGTGTTTATGGCTGATATTATGTTTTTTTTTAGTTCAGCTCGGTATTTAGTACCAGACGTACACGCCTGTAGTACTCCTTTCTTAGCTTCTCCTTCATTTGAGTTTGTTGTATACGATCTCCTTCGCTAATTCCTAGGCTTCATCTTGTTCTAGTTCCCTAATCTTTGTGACAAAGTCTAAATCTATTGAGATTGTTTCTATAATTCTCCTTTTTTTGAATGTTACTTTTGCACATTTATCTAATCCAAAGTTCATACCTATGTCGTCACTGAAGCATTTTACAATATTGAGGAGGATCTTCAACTCATTGTCGTCTTTGGCAAAGAGTTTGAGATCATCCATGTAGAGTAGGTAATTGAATACTTTATTATTTAATTTTGTAACCATATCTACTGTTGTTTCGTTCATGCGTAAGGGGGATTAAGGACAAACAAAACAAATGGGGTGACAGAGAGTCTCTTTGAAAGATGCCACGTCGGATATTCAAACGGCTGTAGATGGCAGTACCTCTGGTGTAATTTAGATATAATGTGGTATTCTACCATGCTGTGCTTAAGGAAATTTACCACCACAGGGGAGACTTTCTACATTTCCAAAGTCATAAGGATCCAAGAGTGTGACACACTATCAAAAGCCAGGATCATTTTGTTTATCAGTAGTTCATGTTTGCATCCATATGAACCTCTCCTGAATCCCTTCTGTTCTAGTGGAAGAATGTTGTTTGCTTCGTAAAAAGAGTAAGTTCGGTTCGTTAGGACAGACGTGATCAACTTATACGTGGTGGAGAAACATGTTATTGGCCTATATTATTATTTCCTCAAATAGCTCTTAGAAGTGGCGTTGGCGCTACAAATTCTGATAATTGATGGTATTAACTGATAACCAATATACTGTATCCCTTTTCAGTTTCTTCTCTCTCTCACTAGCACGCTCACTCACTCTTATTGCATTTATCTTGCCTCTCACTCTCTCTTACTGCGTTCATTTTGCCTCTCCAATTGTATTTCGCTTCCTTCATCGTCTAAACTTCATCGTCTAAACTTCAGTCTTATCTATACTTATAGCAACTATAGTCAACTAGTAAAGTTGTTTATTCATAAGTCAAGAAATTGTCACCTGTCATTACATTTCGAGAAAGGTAGCTTTAATGGACAATAATTATTACTGACATTCCTCTCGGTTTTATGGTTTCAATTTTCTTCCTTTGCCATTTGGCCATTTCGTTTGAATTCACTTTTACGTTGTCCTTTTGCTTGGCAAATACCCGACAAACGATCATATTACGAATTGGCCTCATTTTCTCGCGCCAATATCTCGTGAGACAAGTTTTACATAAACGATCATACCCGTCCAACTAGTTTGATCATATTTTTTCTTTTTTATTTTATTTTTTTATTTTTTTTTTTTGAGAACTAACTTACGTAAAAAATAACTATTTGCTTCAAAAGACTAAAGTTGAGACCTAATTGACATTCGATACACATTTAAAGTCCTTTAAAAATCCTTATATATATAATATATATATATATATATATATATATATAAGTGCGTAGGTATGCAGAAAATAGAAAAGAACACGCTGGGTGCATAATTGGGTTCCTTAGTATTTTTTTTTATTTTTTAAGTGATCTACTATATATATATATATATATATATATATATATATATATATATATATATATATATATATATATGCGTGTGTGTGTGTGTGTGTTTCATCGTCTCTTTAAACCTGTCACTTTTACTTATTTGCTTACACTCGTGCATAAATAATTATATGGCTATAAGATATTGTATATGTCTGTAAAATACTCATTCTCGCCTGTACACTTATTTTTCTGCCTCTCACTTTATTTCATTTCATTTCATACATTTGAAACTGGATAAGATTGTCAGTATCAAAGTAAAACACACTAAACAACTATGTAATATCAATCATCCAATATGAGTGATAATCAATTTCAAGAATACCATCAACGAAGCATGTTAGCCACATGGAAGTTTTCTGGTAATGGAAAAAAATGTACACTTAGAATAAGAAATAGAAAATTGAAATTTCTGGGACATGTAATGAGGAAAGCAGGCTAGAAGAATCTGACACTCACATGACATATTGAAGCAAGAGGAGCAGGGAAAAACAGCGAACAGTGTACCTAAGTAGATTTTGTTACATAAAAGGGTCTGTGAGGGGTTGCAAAAAGTCAAACACTACTTGGAGCTATGCAGGATAGGAAATGATGGAGAGTCATGACCACCGACGCTATTCTCTAAGGGAAATGACACATAAAAGATGTTTACGTTTTGCTGTTTAGACTGAAACGATTTTCTGATTAACCTGAATTTTATAATCGTTGGAAGCTCAATGGTTAGAGCATAACACAAGAGGTTCTCATAAACATTCAATGGTTTTTTAATAGTTTTCTGCAAGATTTACTCATATTATCAAAATTAAAATTATTTCTAAGATCATCATTAACCATAAATGCTAAAATGCAACACTTCTTTAGTATGCTTAAGATAGAGATTCCGGGCGGGATTCCTGGTGCCTGCAGAAAATTTTCAAAGTCTCATTGATTGTAACTTTTACTCTATTACCTGGAAATATGCAAAATATCTTCAGCCTTAATGCTGCTTTGGAAAGATAGAATATCTGTGCGCTGATCACAGATGATCAAGTCTTCCTTCCGATTAAATGTATGGTTACATGAAATATGTATGGTAATATTGAGGAGAGCATTTTTGTATGTTCCCCTCTATTTTTGGTTTAACCAATGTCCTAATATATATATATATATATATATATATATATATATATATATATATATATATATATATACGTTTTACACGAAGGTGAATGAGTATATCTGTAGGCTGACACAATTACAATCGAATTAATTGTGAGCTGAAATTTTCATTAAATTTATTAACACAAGAGTTAAGTGCATTGACAATGAAAGAGTGTTTAATAATTTTCTTTCGTAAAATGAATGTTTTTATCGTTAGGTCTACGGATATATCATATTACCAGCACATAAGACACTGAAGAAACTATTTTTTGATTCTCACTATACACTATTCACATCGAGATTTGAGCCGAACAATTTTCATACTCAGGCAACCTATCTATAATACCTTTAAGCTAGACTATGCAATATTCAGATAGATTGGATGACTGAATGAAATTGTGATGAGGATGTCTGTCGGATCAAACTGAGCCTAGCCACTGTGGCCTTGTGTTAAACTAAGATAAGCTTAGTGGATGTTTACAATGAATGTATTGGAAGATGTTTAAGTGGAATTCAAAGCAACCCGGACTGCTTATGTAACATTCGATTTAACAGACAAAAGAGAAAACTCTTCTCATTGACAATCATTTTTCCTGAAATTTTCTGATTGCAATGATACAGCTGTAGGTACGGAACACACTGATGACCGCAATATACAGGCCACTCTAGTACAGGTGACATTTTTTTACCTGAAAGTAGTGGAATTGTATCACACTAAGTAACATGAGAAATATGATAGATAGATAGATAGATAGATAGATAGATAGATAGATAGATAGATAGATAGATAGATAGATGTGAATGGACTGAGATAGATAGATAGATAGATAGATAGATAGATAGATAGATAGATAGATAGATAGATAGATAGATAGATAGATAGATAGATAGATAGATTTAACTCTGTGCTTGTTTTTGAAAAGTCGATTTTGTCAGTGAAATTACATTATGAAACAACACAAAAACACTTGCATTGCAAAGAATACCAGATATAAAATCAAAATCAAACAAACCTATTAATGTTAGCCATTTCCCTACAAGGAAGCATCCGACATTCATTAAAGATGTATTTAAATAAATTAAAAATGTCATATTTAGATAATTTATATTAAAATTAAAATTATATTTAAACAAATTTATATTTAATATAAAATCAATAGGTTATATCAAACAATAAAAGATATTTAGAAATAAAAATATAAGCTTAAAAAAAAAAAAAAAAATTAACTTTAAAGATAAGTTATATTTAAAAAAATATAAAGTTATACTTAAAAATACATAAAAATACAAAGTAGCACATCCGTATTCAACAATACATGTATAATATATCTATCTATGTATCTATGTATCTATCTATCTATCTATCTATCTATCTTTGTTTATATCAATCTCTCAAACTGCCTGGCTTACTCATTTCTTTATTTTTCTCTTTTGTAACTGTTTTTAAACTGAGTCTGACAGTTCGCTAATTTCTTCGGTGGATGGAATTGGTAGGGTGTTACATTATACTTATATCGCAGGAAACATATTTCCTTATGATTTGGCATTTTGTTTGTGTCTGTTAATCTCTAATTCATTTGGATTTAGCAAAGAACACATTCGGGCGGAAATTTTCGTCTTTACCAAATAAAAATATCAAAGTTGCAGACACTATTCATGAAATCTAAGAATTGTTCCAATATTAGAAAATACGTTGATATGTTTACTTTCGACATTGCTCGTCAGGATTTACTTCCATATTTATTTAGCGTCCATCTTTCGTAAATATGTCTTGGCAATAATAATTCTTGAGATTTTCCATCCTACAATTTAGGGTAAAAGTTCAATGGAATATTGCTTTGATGTTTTTTTCCCGTTTGTTTCTTGTCAATTTCTTCTTGAATATTAAATTTGGGATTCTACTAGTGCTTCATAAATCTATAATCGAGAATTTAAAAAAACAAAAAACGACAGAAAGTCTTCAACTGATAAAAAAAAATCCTCGTGGAAAAAATTGAAGTTTGAACAAAGAACTACGCATGCATGTCTGTTAAAAACAAAAAAGAGAAGTTCGACAAAATATCTAATGAATTAAATTCTTGTATTGTGTAATGTCGCCCATATTCATAAAGTATGACGGCTAAGTGTACCTGTTGGAAATTGCATTACTACTTGAAGATTTAGTCATAATGATCCTGGATTAGAAAAATCCATGTGATTCAGTGAAAATTAATAAGATACAACGCTAAACTCATAGAAAAATGGGAAAGTGATTTCCACAATATTTACCCACAATTTCAGATTACGGCCACTTCTCTAGCCGAAAAATAAATGAGGATTATTACAATTAAATTGATAAAATTGATTGACCAAAACGGTAAAAGAGTGAGTTAGGACAATCATTCTCACAAAAAATCTTGCTTTTAGTGACTTTTTCAAAAATGAATTCTATTTATATAAATTTATAACTGAAGAATCTGTCAACACTGCAAATAACTATTTCTTCTTTGCATTATTAAAATATCTATTTTTTTAACTAAATTTCGAAAAGGAACCATGAAGTATCCATAGGCAAATTTAGATGAATTTATCTTAATGTATAATACGCATTTTTCTTCTAAAAAATAATAAGCAAAATCAGGGGTGCGTATTATGCACAGCTACAAAAATTCTTTAAAAAATTGCCATAAAATAAAATAAGAATTATCATAAAACTAAATTAGAATAATATTATTCTATGTTTAAAAACTTTTTTTTTGAAGTGTAGGAAACACTGCCGTAATGAATTTAGTGTGTTTGATTACCAAACAAGGGGTGCGTATTATGTATGAGTAGAAGCATTTTCCCAAACTTTCAGCACAATTTTAGGGGTGAGTATTTATGGATGAAGGCGTATTATACATGGGGAATTACGGCAATTTCATAAAATATAATCTGAGGATAAAAATTTCTGAATTTGTAAGCAGCCAAATAAGAAGATTCTATAGTGCCAATGTTTTACTGGAGAAGCCTATAAAAATGGGTGTAGTCTTCCGTAAATTCATTTAATTTTTGTATAGGGTGTATGCCTGAGCTTATTAAAATAATTTGATTCAAACAACAAATTATTATAGAAAATATTTGTATAGAAATATTCTCTTACAAAGGCGCGGTGGAGTAATGGATAGTGGGTCCAACTGAGGAATCGGAGAGCCGAGTTCGATTTCCAGTCAAATCCATTACATTCACTTTCGTACTTGGGAAAGGTATTAATCTTATTATTCTTCCTCCAGCTATGGGTAAATAATAGGACAGACCAGGTTCTATAGGCTTGGATGGCAACTGGTCTACCGCAGAAAGAAAGGCACCCTACTGTGGGAAAAATCTGCCTCGTCAGTCATGTATCGAAATATATATGATCGCCTAAGCGTGTATCACGCATGGCACATAACTGACTGACTGACTCTTACAAAACTTCTGAATGCCTATGCATGTCTTTAATATTTGTTATCTACTAAACTTAGCTTAGCACAAGAAACACTAGTAAGATCTGCAAGTTTAGCCAGCTACCATTACCCTACCATGAGGTCTCTCTATATATAGAGAGAGATAGGTGACCACTATATATCTATAGTTAGTAAGCTGAGCTTAATTTGTTCAAAAGATCACCGAAAAAAGATCCTAATCACTACAGCTGGTTAGGCGAACTCGTTAGACATTGTACCTAGGCAAGACGCTCTCATAATTATTTGTTTTACTTAACATAGTTTAATTTTTTTAAAAAAACGCCACCTAGTGTGAATATCACTTACTATTAATGCTTAACGAAACCAGTTTGTTAACACACGGCGGGGTACTTATATTATATAAGTTTAAATAGGTATTTGTAATATTAAAGTAAATTGCCTGAACTCAGAAATTAATATGACAGGCGGTCACAAGTATGGGTCACATAATAATTCCTGAAATCACTTGAGTAGAAATCACCAACGAGTGGTGCCTATTGTATTGAATGTGAAAAAAAGTGCGTCGTCATAGGTTTGCGCAAAATGTTTTCCGGGTTTACGCTCACCACGTCGAAACACTTGTTTTCGTAAGATCACCGCAGTTAAGCAACGTCTAGTCTGGTCACTAACTAGATAGGTGACCACTTTGGAATATCAGGTGCTATAAGCTTGGATGTGCGGGTGGTGTAATGGATAATGGCTCGGAAATGTTAATCGGAGAGCCGAGTTCCAATTCCCGTTAGGGTCGTTATATTCATTTACGTGCAAATACCCCTAGGGAAAGATATGCAACCACCTATTCTCGACACAACTATAGATTAATTAGTAAGATTTTTATCACTAAACGTTTATTATCTCAAAAAAATCTTACAATCTAAAAATATTCTCTGGCTTTAAATAACCTGCAATGGGTTGATAAACCGTAGAAAATGAATTAAACAATGAATAAATTTTTTGGGGAAACTCGAGACGGAATGTAGAAAGGAATTTTAATAATAAAAAGAAAAAAAAATACTGGAGAATATTTATACATACTTAATCATTGAAACCTTTTTTTTTGTCATAGAAATCAGACCATTTCATAATACTGTTTCTTTTTGTATTTTGTTTATTGTTTTCTCTATAAATATATATCCTCTAGATTTAGCCAAGTTTTTCAGTATTAAAAGTTCAATTTAGAACAATTACTCTTTTTCTAATCAAGTTCTGGGCAATTTATTTACGGAGGAGAATGAGGTATTGAAAGTAATCCTCTCACTTTCTTTCACTGCTGCGTTTCTGGATTCTATCTCACTATAAGTCAGTTTAAGACATGTTTATATTACATATAGCTTATCACTACCCCATTGCTATACTGTAGCTTTGTTAAATGACAATACACCTGAAGATATTCACCTGCTATTTCTCTGCGTCAACGATTCTCCGTCTTAACCTTAATGTATCAAGAATCACATAATATTTATGAATTCAAATAAATTCCTTTTAGTTCATTATATATTTAAAGCGACTGTCATATGACTGAGTAAAAAAATGAGTTTTCATCTGTGGACGCATTTCCTGGGGTATTAGTGGGTATCTCATGTTAGGAGATTAAATCAACGTTAGTTTCTTTATTTTCATCTGTAATTCCCTACAGTAATGAGCTGATCACTTACTTTACTCGTCAGACCACCCGATGATCATGACTGAGTTCAGCCTCGTTTATCTAGTCTTTATTTTTTCATCAGCCAAAGTACTTATTAGAAACACAAACCCGCTTTTTTTACGCGTCAGTTTATTTTGGTTCTATTCCGAAAAATTACGTATTTTCTCTTTCTACTTAATTTATTTGACAAGTTTTCAAACTTTCTGTCACGCCTATTTACCTTTCTGGCGACATCCAATGTTGCGGCATTGGCGTACCGATGCCATGAAACATTAACTGAAAGATCGTTTCTTGCTGTGCGCCATTTGTATGTTTTTTTATGTCTAGAGTGACGAACTTTAACAAATACATCGTCACATTTCCTATGACAGTTTGTAAAAAACAAAAGACTTCAACTTAAATTTGAAATTCAAATGTAGCACTAGTAATGGCTGTCATTGATCATTCATTTTAAATTCAAGTTAATTTCAAGCCCATAAAAGTACTGATTTAACAGATCCCTTGGTTTTTTTTAGCTGAATATTTCGTACGAGTCCCAGGAATTACTGTCCAAATCCGAGCACAGGACAAGATAAAACAGGATTTTAATTCTTCTTTTTCAAAGCAGGCAACTAATCTTTGATTGTTACAGTCTCATTACTCTCCTATTTGCCTCATTTGCTCCTTAACCTTGCGTTATAGGGGGCTATATAACATCCTTTTATATTTGCTTCGTGGGTTAAATACTTTACTTCCAACGGACGCTGCTAATTATTAATGCAGACATGTTTTCTCTTTTGAGAGGATACTAATATTCCTTATATACATATATTTTTTTGTTTTTACAGTAAAGTTCACCCTGTACAAGGCCCGGTGGCCACTCATG